ATTCCTGCTTTTCTTTGAAGGAATGGAAGAATGATTCAATTGATCACTACTACTGATAGTTTTCCTTTGATATTCATGGTGAAGCTCTGCCAACCAATGCCAAAGTAACCAAGGATTTTCCACTAGGATTAACACCTAGTTCACTAGCTTATATGCTAAATCTCATTATTTTTACTTCGTACATGAAGCTATGAAATACACATATAATACAAATGCAATATTTAATCCCAAAACTTCTTTTAGAGGAATCTTTGAGTTAATTTATGAACCAGGATGAGATCTTTATGAAGCAAAACTCTAGTTTGTTTGGTATAACACCATTCAATATTCTATTCTGATTGTTGTAAAGGCCAAAACAACATATCAAATTCTCATGAATCCCAACAAAGAAGATTATTACTTTTGGACTTTATTAGAATGGTTTTCTCTTTTATCTTGGTGGAGAAAATAGCTAAAGAAGATCTTAAATCTTGAAAAAAGTAGAGGAATTTCATATGAGAAAATTAATAATTTTTCTTTAATTATTATAGTACATCATCCTTACTTTTAAAACCTAACCAAGAATTATAGTCCATAAATGAAGACTACTTTTGGGGAAACTTTGAAGATTATCCTTTAAATCAAAATCATAAACTTCAACTTGTCAAACATCTATATGAAATTAACAACTATCAATCTAGACCACAAATCCCAATCAGCCAATTTCATCTTAGAAACCCAATGATTATTATCCTAGCAATATGATAATCCCTTCCAAATCTTCATAAGAGACAATATTTTTTAAGTCTACATCAGAAATCTATATTTTTTTCTAAAAAAGATAGATATGCTAAGGCATCACTATGTGGAAGAGAGATCCTAACTAGGTTAGCACTTCAAACCACACCAATCATCTGCCGCATATCAATATGGATTGAAATATAAAAGAAAATAAAAGTACAAGTGAGGGGACCGAACCAAAACCCACGAAAAAATGTAAAGAAAACTAATGGATCATAGGCCGAAGCCATTATACAACATCAAATCATGAAGTCCAAATTACTACCCACAGTTTGGTACTAATTTTTGTTTGGTCACAAATCAAGAAAATTTGGATAATTTGGCTTTTCTTGATCTAGTTCTAGGCCTATCCAGTGCTGGTTTTTTAGGCTTAGAGTTATGGAGTTTAAGCGGATCATGGCATCCTTTCTCCCAGTCATATATCCGTTTGCTTCAAGGAGAGCCAAATCTGCCTGAACCTCTGGAGGAAAATCAGCCGAATCATTGATATAAAAACAGTTGCTGCATTAAGAATGTTATCTGACTGTACAGTGCGAGGCCTCAAGACCCTTGGTTTAGTCTTAGGTACATGAGGGGAAAGATCCACCTGTTCTGCATCAGACTCTGAGGTAGCATCCACAATTGCAGCAAAATCCCATTTCTTATGACTTGTACTAGTGGCTGGAATATTAATTTTTGTTGTTACATTAACTGCACCAGCTACATCATCAACCGCAACAATTAAGCTATGATCTTTGTTCGAGCTAAGCTGGTTTTGATCATTTGAAAGGTCTTCCAAAGGGGGCATGCCTTCAAGAGAATTATCAGCATGTTGATTTTTCAAAGCTGCAGTTGGATCAACAGTTGTGATTATTTGGGGTGCAGCAGCTGCTGTAATAGAATTGTCGTCCATGACTGCAATTGAATCAACACCTTGTCTACATGTTCATGAGACATTTCATTAGTTAGCAAAGTATCATTTACCTTGATCACTTGCAAATCATGTGCTGTAGCCACAGGTGCTTCAAGCGGTGCAGCATCTATTGCAAATGATGTAGGTGCAACAACTACATGATCCATTGCACCAATCAGATTGGCATTTGGTGGAGTCATTCCATCTTGTTCTATTGCTTGAGAGCCAACACTAGCTACACCAGTCTGCACCAGTTCAGTGGTTGAGACAATTGCATCAGCCAAGCCACCAGCCAACTGCTCTTTCTTTTGAATTGATTTAGCTGGTTCACCTACATGCTAGCCAACATTTGAATTATCCATAACATGAGAACTCCCCCCCTCAACTGCTGCACCCACAGATTTACGTGGCCTATCAGTCATCTTCTGCAGATTTGGTAAACATTTTCCAGCACCTGCATGAATATCAACATTGCATGCAGAGTTTACGTGCTCTATACATTAACATATAGAGCAAAACATAGGCATCCTATCAAATTCAAAAAATACAAAGAACGCATAACCTTCCCTTTCAACCAGTAGCTGCATTGGAATCTTGTCCGCAAGATCAATTTCGATCAAGACTCTAGCAAAGTGTCCATATTTCCTATCCAACGTAGCTTTGTCTAGAGAGATTGGCGTCCCTACTGTTGAAGCAATCGCAAGAATGATTCTTGGACTCCAATATTCTTGGGGGAGCTCCAATATGCACAGCCAGACCTGAGAAAATATATTCTTATGATTTCTTGGATTAAAATCTGGCTTCCAAAGAGACAATTGTAGTAAACCCGGGTCCAAGTTCCACGAGCCAGCCGCAAGAACCATTCCAAGATCATGAGAGTTCTGAAATTCCAGCTCAAACTCCCAAGAGGGATGATATTCCAACCAACTATATGACTCCACAACTTAGACAATTTGGTTTTCAAATCATATACTTTGATTGGCTTTTGGCCTTTAGCCAAAAAGAACTCTCCCGTGAAGATGTTTGGAACACCTTGCAAGGCCCTCATGGTATGCATCTTCGGGGATTTTGATGGCTAAGGAGTCCCTTTTCCAACAAGGTTTAGGAAGAGAGTTGAATCTTGGAGCCACCGAGGATGTGACTACATTGGAGAAGGATGTCTTCAAAGAAGGCTTGGATGGTCTCAATGGCAACGGAGTGCCAAGGCAAGGCCAAGGACATGAAAACATGTCCACCATGCCTGAGCATCGATGTACAAGAAACCTTCTTCAATCTTGGAGAGTTCTTGGAGAATTCTATGTTCTAAATGAAGAAATCTAGAAAGTTGAAGATCTAACAGATGGTTATAATGAAAATTTGATAGAGGAAATAATGCATAAGACTATGTATCCCTATCATCACCATGTGTATGTGAGTTTGACTCGATCAAAAGTAGGACAATACATCTCTTCACTTTCAACCAAATAAGACAAAAGTGACAATTGTATCTCTAAAGCATGTGGAAATCTTAATTATTAAAGATGACATTATGGTGTGCAAATAAGGTTAGGCAGAAAACATTGTCATATCACCATGTAAAATTATCACGTGTACTATTTTAGAAGATAAGGTGTCATAGCTAAGCTTAGATGGATGTCAACGTCAAGACTTTGTTAGCTATGTTAGTCATGTATACAATAAGATGTCATTGTTATAAATAAAGCTAGGTAGATGTCATCACCAAGACATGTAATAGGTTTTATCATTAGTGGATCTCCTCCTCTATAAATGGAGGATTGTATGATAGCTCAAGGCAAACTTGGTTGAATGAAATAAATATTTCCTTCAAAAATGAGTTTCTTCTAATCTTCTCATTCTTTTTGAATGTAACACCCAAAATCTATTAACAGATTATACTAAATTATTAAAAAAAAATCTTAACAATTATACTTATATGGTTACCCAATAAAATAGAAATTATAACCATTGTTTTATAGCAAGTACTTGTACTCTAAATTTACAAGTAGATATGATATAAGTAATATCATAGCCAACACTCCTACGTATGACACTATCATACATCCATCACACATAAAACATTACTTCAGAGCATAATATTTCAAAAAAATAATTTAACTACTAACCGACATTAAGTGTATATACAAACAAAAAGTTTGATCCTACCCTTCCCATCTATGATATCGTCAAAAAGGAAAACTAGTAAATACACTAGTAGGAGATGATAACTCAACGTATTGATCCACAAATGGTAACAATAGATCAACCATAACATCATGAAAAAAGGTGAAGGTAGTGGAGGTATCCATACATAGCTAGGAGTAAGAGGAGAAGTCAATATCACATGTAAGTCTATAGAGGAAGGTGGAACCATAATAGTAGGGTTCATGTTGGTCTTTCAGCTTCTAACACCTAACACGAAGATTAAAACATACAAGAACCACAAAATACTAGTGCACACATGTGCACATAGATGCAAGAATGTTTATAAAATGCAGAAATTAAAGATGAGAGACAAAGAAAGAAGAAAACCAAGCTTTATGTGGTTCAGCCTTGAGGCTTACATCCACAGGAAGAGCAACAACAATTCACTATGATTCTCAAGCAATACAAGTCACAAGTCCCACAAGAACCTTTTCCTTGTTCTACCACTCCTTGTAACTTTCACCCTTACTTGTTAACCCCTTTTTCCACTCACCAATCTCATTTGTATTTATATTTCATACAAGAGAGAAAGATAAGAAAAGAAAAAAAAAATATAGAATACAAGAGAATCCAAGATTAAACCTGAATCATAACCAACTAACAATAATAAAGAGTTAGTTGAGAAACTGTTTTTATTTTTATTTGTTTTAGAGTCACACAGATCAACAAATCTCCACCTTAACTCTTAAAACAAATAAGAATAAGAACCCTTGAACCTCTAGAACTGCTCTTCACATTCATGCTTCAATCAACTTGAAAAATTGATCAAGTCCAAGCAATGCTTGAACTTAGCTCTAGGAAGAGACTTTGTTAGCATATCAGCTGGGTTGTCTTCAGTGGCAATCTTTAGAACTTGAATCTTTCTGTTTCAATCATATCTCTGATGAAATGATATCTAATGTCTATATGTTTGGTCCTTTCATGATAAGTATGGTGATTGGCTAAGTGAATAGCACTTTGGCTATCACAATTTATGGTAACTCTAGACTGATTTATACCTAGATCACCAATCAATCCTTTTAACCATGAACCTTCCTTAGCTCCTTCAGTAAAAGCAATATACTCAGCTTCATTTGTTGACAAAGAAACCACTGATTGTAGGTTAGCTTTCCAAGTTATTGCAAAACCAAACATAGTGAACACATAACCTGTTAATGACTTTCTTGTATCAAAACATCCTACAAAATCAGCATCAACATATCCAATCACAACATCTCCTTCTGTATGACTTCTTTTAAATCTCAAATCACATCCCAAAGTCCCATTGAGATATCTAAACAACCATTTCAATGCATTCCAATGAAGTTGACCAGGATTTGCCATAAACCTGCTAACCAAACTAATTGCATAAGCCAAATCTAGTCTGCAGCACACCATGCCATACATGACACTACCAACCCCACTAGCATAGGGAACAGACTCCATCTTGATCCTTTCTTCCTCAGTTTTAGGAACCTGAGAAATAGACAGTTTTGATAGAGATCCAAGAGGTGTATTGACAGGTTTAGATTGATGCATTCTAAACCTCTCAACTACTTTCTTCAAATAATTTTCTTGTGATAGGAACAATTCTCCTTCATTTCTGTTTCTAATGATGTCCATTCCCAAAATCCTCTTGGCAGGGCCAAGATCCTTCATTTCAAACTCAGAATTGAGCTTAGATTTGAAATTTTCTATCTCTTCCTTACTAAGACTTGCAAGAAGAATATCATCTACATATAGGAGTAGATATAACACATATTCCTTCTTTCTTTTAAGAACTTATACATAGTTGTCATACCTGCATCTATAGAAACCCAACTTCATCAAAAAATCATCGAACCTCTTGTACCACATCCTAGGACTTTGTTTCAAACCATATAAGGATTTTTTTTAGTAAGCAGACTTTGTTTTCTTCTTCAGAGAAACCTTCTGGTTGTTGCATATAAATGGTTTCTTCAAGGTATCCATGCAGAAAAGCAGTTTTGACATCCATTTGTTCCAACTCCAAGTCAAACTAGTTTACAATGCTAAGCAGAATCCTTATAGAACAATGCTTCACTACAGGTGAGAAAATCTCATTGTAGTCTACACCTTCAACCTGAGTAAATCCCCGGGCAACAAGTCTTGCCTTGAACCTTGGTGCTTCAACTCCTGGAATGCCATCTTTCCTCTTGAAGATCCATTTGCAGCTTATGACCTTTTTCCCTGTTGGCAAACTAACAAGCTTCCAAGTCAAATTCTTTTGTAGAGATTTCATCTCTTCATGTACAGCCTTCATCCAATCTTGTGCTTCACTGCTTTCCATAGCCTCCTTATAAGTCTTTGGTTCAAATCCTTGCACTTCATTTGCAGTATTAAGAGCATAGCAAATAAGGTCAGCATAACCATATCTGCTAGAAGGTTTAGGAACTCTCCTTGCTCTATCTCTTACCAATTGATAACTTGATATATCCTGATTTCTAGCAACTTCACCTGAACTTGAAGCTCCATCAGTGATTTCTTCAGAATTTTCAGTTTGATTTATTTCTGAAGAGTGTGTGGAAGACTCCACCTCAAACTGAACATGATCTTTACTAGAGCTCTCTTCCATTTGTTGTTCTTCAAGTATTCCCAATTTGGTCTCATCAAAGGTAACATCCCTACTGATTATGCATTTTCCTCCACCTTTTTCCAACTTCCATAGCTTGTAGCCTTTCACTCCATCTGGATATCCTATGAAAACACACTTCACAGCTCTTGGTTCTAACTTACCCTCTTTCACATGAGCATAAGCTAGAGATCCAAACACTCTCAGATTAGAGTAATCTACAGGTTTTCCATGCCAAGCTTCCATAGGAGTTTTATTGTTCAATGCAGAGGAAGGACACCTATTTATGAGATATGCAGCAGTGGTAGCAGCTTCACCCCAGAATTTCTTTGACAATCCTGAACCAAGAAGCATGCATCTAACCCTTTCCAAGATAGTTCTATTCATCCTCTCAGCAAGCCCATTTTGTTGAGGTGTATGAGGGACTGTTCTATGTCTTTTAATCCCCTGGTTCCTGCAAAACTCAGCAAACTGCTCTGAAAGAAACTCCAGGCCATTGTCAGTCCTTAATACTTTTAACTTGGTTTCAAGTTGGTTTTGGATCAGAGTATACCAATCCCTGAATTTTTTATATGTTTCAGTTTTATCTTTTAGTACATACAACCACACTCTTCTAGTAAAGTCATCAATGATAGTGAGAAAATAAGAACCTCCACCTAGAGTTTTAACTCTAGAAGGTCCCCACAAATCAGCATGAACATACTCAAAAGGCCTGCTAGAAACATGTATACCAGTTCCAAACTTTACCCTGTGAGACTTACCTAACACACAATGTTCACAGAATTCTAACTTATCAAGCTTATCACCCTTGAGCAAATTCTGTTTTTCTAGTTCAATTAGGCCTCTCTCACTTACATGTCCTAGCCTTAAATGCCATAGTTTTGTTTTATCAATATCATTTCTAGCTATAGATGCATGAGCCATAACAGTAGATCCATCTAAGACAAACAAACCATTATTCTTATCTTTGTTACCTTTAGCAATCACAAGAGATCCATTCAAAATTTTAAGTACACCATGTTGAGTTTTAGTAGCATAACCTAAACTATCAAACATGCTTATAGATATAAGATTTCTCTTGAGATCAGGCAC